AATCCTGCGGGCCGAATGATTAAAAAAAAGCTATGTTACCAGTTGTCCGATGGCAAGACATCATGGCTGGACAGTCAGGGGGGTCCCGGAAGTCCGGGCCCGGACAACTCCATTTTTAGCAATTAAATGCACGAAAAAAATTAAAAAAAATTGGGGGTGCCTTTAATTTTATTTTTTATTTTAAAATTCACAATGAATTTCGATATGATCCCAAGGCAAAAGTTGTTCAGTTTATGTTTATGCATAACATAGTGTTTTTTTAGATTTTTTTTTGAATTTTTTTTTTTTTTTTTTTGCCGTTCGGGCTTGGACGGTCGGCCAAGGGAGGATGTCCGATCGGTTGTCCGAGCGGACAACCCCGGACGGTCAGGGGGGCCCCGGACATCCGATCAGGTGACCTAAAAAAAGTTAATAAATAGGCATCCCTTTTCGCCCACATCGTGAGCCCATACCCAACGCGGTTGTCCGTTTCAGCCTACTTGGGCTCTAAAGCCACGCGACATTATTTTAGGTAGAACAGGTCTAGGTCTAGCTTTTCCGCATCAACATACCACATTGGCCCTGCTAGAAACTGCCGGCTACCGTCATTACTCTTGGGCGCCACAGGCGTCTGGACTAATGGTTAAAAACGTTTATCTCTAAGTCAAAGGTTAGGTTTGAATAAACTTCCGGTAGATAATCAATCACATCAAGTTATGAAACCTAGACAACCTTTCACCAAGTCGGACATCGTTCAACATTTAAAAACACCAGACAGATACCCTTGTTAGGGTTTCTGCCTCTACAGCGTTATGATCATGATGTTACAATTCAAGACTCGAATGAGACCATAAGAATCAATGATGGTTGCTGCAGGCACAACTGGTTCTCCCAGGTGAAACAAGGCATATAGCTTTACGTGCCTCCTGTCGGTAGTTGACCATCTATGCTTCGCGCAGAGGATGTGTCACACATTGATCATCATAATGAAGTGAAGCCCCACACATCTACTGAAAGGAAGAATGGAATGACCTACAGGTGGTCCGATAACTGATAATAGATTCACACTTCGTAATAGGTTGTCCGTACTCCTAATTGTGCGAAGGACAAGAGAAGTGGAAATAGACACATCTCCTCAAAGAAACAGTGGAAAGACCTACCAAGGATGCGCATCTTCACAGTACTGACAATCATATACTTTTGTCCAAGTACAGGGGGGTAATTCCTCTTTCTGGAAAACAACCTCTATATTATGATCCTTATATTTGACTATCCATGATATGCCATCGCAATTAATCGAAAAGGTAGTGCATCTGACTATGTACCAAACAATCGACCCTTAACTACAACTCCTTCCTAAGAGACGCACCTACAAGAATCGGGTTATGAAACGCTTCGGCGCGACTGAGGGTGACACCTCGGTACTCCTCCCTTACAACGAGATGAACTTTTATTTTTCAACCATCCACCTTGACGGCTGTAAAAAGCGTCGTAACTGTAGTGTTGTGATTCAACACACAAATTCGACCATAGAAGTCAATGATGACGGAGGCCCACAACTTCAGTTTTCCAAAGCAAAACCATGCACATAGCTTTACGTGACTCTCGTCTTGGGTTGCCCATTATTGGATGACACAAAGAGTGTTCCAAGCGTAAATCATCTTTGTTGGAGCAACAACGTCCTCAGGCTCCTTATCATCCTCCTCACTGCCGACATGATCTACTTCAATCTCTTTCTGCAGACAGTACAACACCTAAAGGTACCAAAAGTTCGACCCAAGATATGAAGTGTTTAACTAGTATACGCCATCCCAACAAGCAGACCATTGACCAACCCGCAACCCGTCAATACCCTTGCAACAAATATGTTCGTTATTTTCCTTGCTGAGGAGGGGGAGGACGGGGGGCCAGGGCTTTATCACATTTGTTTTTGGCTCCAAGTTTATCCTAGATATGCAAGTATTGTTTTGGGTCATATTTACCACCCACAAATGCACATGAATTCATACTTGTCGTTATTCAATCGATAGTTTAACTTGCCTAAGCAAATACTCAGAGACTGTGTATGGGTCTGTAAGGTCACTAAAGACTAGTTAAGGGCTGAATCAATTCACAGTTATCGTTGTTCTTACAAGGCACCTACAAGAAGTATCCAACTTCTGTGTGGAATGAAAGTAGCATTGATAGGGAACCTTTCTTCTAGGTCTGGATGTCTTTGGCAGAGAGTGGTGGGTCAGGGTTTTTTTGTTTGGGATACCATCTGCATTGCCGTCCGTTCAATAATGCGTGTTTCGCGTTCATGTTTTGAACGTGGTGAACGCTCGTTCAATGAACACGACTAAACGCGTTTGATGCGTTTGCACAAGCCCCCAAACGTGTCGGGGAAGGTGTTTCTAGCGTAGGGTGTGGGCTGAGAGTCGTGTGTGTATGTGTGTGTGCGTCTGTAAGATAGATCGATAGATAGATCGATAGATAGATAGATAGATAGACAGATAGACAGATAGATAGATAGATAGATAGATAGATAGATAGATAGATAGATAGAGAGAGAGAGAGAGAGAGAGAGAGAGAGAGAGAGAGA